TTTGGTAGGGACAGGGTCTTGCTATGTTGCCCCAGGCTGGTCTTGAACTCCTGGGCTCAAGTAATCCTCCTGCCTTGGCCTCTAAAAGGATTAGGATTACAGGCATGAGCCACTGCACCCAGGCAACCTTTGTTATTCCCTAAACCTGAAATGCCCTTCTCTCCTTCATCTCCTTCTCCCTTTAAGACCCAGTTCAAACCCCATTCCTCCACAAACCACTGCCAAACCATTTTCTTTTCTGCATTCCCCTAACACTTGGTTTGTAGCTCTCTCCTGTTTACACACACTGTGCCCTGTATTGCAGCTAATTGAACATTTATCTCCATAACTGCCACTACACTTTCTGTGAGGAGGTGCTGTGTCTTACTGAAAAATCTTTTTGCCTCCACACCCCTGTTCATCTTAGGCAATGATATATGTTGGTTCATTTAACTTTGTTTGTGTATGACCTAGTTAAAATTCTTCATATCTGCCTTCTATTTCTGCACTTTATGATTCTCACATTCAAACTTTTTCCTGAATTCTATACCAAAAAAGAAAATAGAAAATTGAACATTTAAAAAAAAGAAAAAGAAAATCAATGGACTGGTTCAGCTGGCTTGTCAGCAGTAGAACCAAAACAATTAGGACTCTTCAGTCTAGAAAGGCCAAAAAGGGATATGATAAAATATACTGCCATCAAATCCTAGAATAATTGAACTAACAAATATCTTCAAAACTTGAACTATTAAAAATGTAGGGTGAGTTAAAATATAATCACAGTTAACTTTTATTGGACACTCATTAATTGTCAAGCACTGTCACCGTTATTTAATTATTTAAATATTTAATTAATTTAAAAGATGTAACAATACTTTAGCAGGTAGCAATTTTATGGAATTTATTACTCCAAAAAGATGCTTTAATTTTTTAAAAATTACAAGTATCCCTTATCCCAAATGCTTGAGGTCAGAAGTGTTTTGAATTTCATATTTTTTTTCAAATTTTGGAATATTTGCATATACATAATGAGATATCTTGGGTATGGAACCAAGTCTAAACAGAAAATTCATTTATGTTTTATATGCACCTTACATATAGACTGATGTCATTTTATACAATATTTTAAATAATGTACATGAAACAAAGTTGGTGTTAAGTACTCTGTATGGAATTTTCCACATGTGGCATCATGTCGGCAATCAAAACTTAAGATTTTGAATTTCAGATTTTCAGATTAGGGATGCTCAACCTATAATAGGTTAGGCAAATTAATGGGTGATGGAATGGTTATAGAAGCACAATTAGAAAGATGCTTTTTTTTTTTTTTTTTGAGACAGAGTCTCACTGTATTGCCCTGGCTAGAGAGTGCCGTGGCATCAGCCTAGCTCACAGCAACCTCAAACTGCTGGATTCAAGCAATCCTTCTGCCTCAGCCTCCTGAGTAGCAGGTGGGACTACAGGCATGTGCCACCATGCCCGGCTAATTTTTTCTATTTTTGGTAGAGATGGGGTCTTGCTCTTGCTCAGGCTGGTTTTGAACTCCTGACCTCGAGCAATCCACCCGCCTCAGCCTCCCAGAGTGCTAAGATTATAGGCGTGAGCCACCGTGCTGGCCAGAATGATGATTCTAATTTCAATCTCTACCCTAAGGTTGAGTCCCCTTACAACATCTCAGTAAGTGGTTGACTAACTTCTTGATTGATACCTTCCTCAATAAGAACTTACATTTTACTCCTTACCCCTCCTACCCCTTAGAACCCAAGAAGAATGTTCTTGCTGATTCTCTAGCCTTCTGAGAGTTTTATCAGAGAGGATAATTATAACCATCACAATATGTCTCTCAGTGTCAGTCAGAGACACAGGTCTGATTCAACATGTCAACTCTTACATTCTTCAGAGAAGCAAGTTTGGGTTGAGTATTCTCATTACCTTAAATACCATATTCCTTGCAAGTAACCTGAAACCAGCTCTACAGACTACACTGGCTAAATGCAAGGCCATCTCTTTGAGCTGAGTGTAAAGTGAAAAGTAGCTCTTATTTATAGCAACAAAAACTCCAGAGACTTGATGAGTGAGTGAGTTGATCCTTTGAGTATTTCATAGGAGAGGACTTAGAGTATTCATTGTGGAATCACACAACACTCTCTACAATTCTAAGTGAACACACATAAAGGAAATATGTCAAATTTATATGAAAAGCTTAAGAATTATTTTGTATTTTCAAAGACAAAAAAAGACATCTTGAAATTAAGCATATCACTGCCCATGTAAGCTATCAGAAAACAAAACAAATGACATCTGATTTACTCTAAATTAATTTTTGTGTGTCCTGAAAACCCAATGTCTAAAAAATGGCAAGATGCTATGTTTGAAGTAAAAACAAGTGTCACATGATCATAGGGACATTGGAACTGGTAGTTGAAGAGGAATAATGCCAGGTATTCTGAAGTTTTCTAACCCAAAATGTATTTATTTATTCTACACCCTAACTTTTATAGACCATTTTCTTAAGAAATTTTCAAGTTAAAACTTTATTACTTGAAGCCAAAACTTGATTTCACCCACTTCTTTATTCCTTCTCATGTATTTAGTAGATGATCCAGAGTGCTACCAGAAATAATGAAGCCAACAAGTAAATGTCACAGAAACACTGTGAGGGAAATATCTACAGTAAGTGACGTTCTGGATTAATCATAGATTGGAGACTACTATGTAGATGTTTGAGGAAGCAATAGGATAAGAGTTATTTGGAGAGTCCTTTCACAAGAGTTCAGGGGACTTCTGCTTAAGGCAAGATCAAAATAAGGCCCCAACTAACCCAATGAAGATGAGAAGTTAGTTATTCAATGTGCTTGCTGAAGTAATTATGAATGAAAAAGTCATCACTTAAGTCAGTAGACATTAAATATACATACTTGGTATAAAATAAGACCATCAAATTAGGAAAGATGAAAAAAGTCGCCCAAATGCACTTTGGTAATATTAGCAGAGACAAGGAGGAAAACCCCACTTCCTGGTTCTCCTAGATACCAATCAAGGCCTCTTTTGTGTGTGCTAGGAAGTGATTTTGAGATTTCTCTCATCTTGAGAGAATTTAGGGTTCCCTGTGCTCCTTGGATAGCCTTAGTCTGGTGAATCACTCTCCAAGACCTTCGGGTAGGATTCTGCCCCTCTCTCTCCGGGCCCTCAAGTATATGACACCTGGCCCATTCCCCTGTCATTTCAGAAAGCAGTACCCTAAGCTATTTCCCTCAATTATCTTTTCTCCCGCTCTCAAAAAGATAGATTTCCCCATCCCCTGACAATACGGATTACCCCGTTCTCTACCTATACATCAGGAAGTACTCAAAAATCACCTTCATCCTCTCAAATTTAGACCTTTCTCAGTCCTACTTCGGGAGGCTCTAGGAGTCTTCCTATCACCTCCTTATCTATGGGAAGCCTAGGCCTGCTCACTTTCCCTTGGAGCTTCTCTTCCTTGTTTCCCTGGCCTTTGGAAAAGAACCTGTTTCTTCTCCCCTGAACTGAATGGCCGAGGCCATAAACGCGCCCCTCGGTGGAGCTTGGACTCTTCTCGTCTTAGCAGAACCCACTCTCTGCTCTTGCTCCCCCACCGAGGTTCCGAAGGTCTCCCCACCCGGGCGGGCATCCGGGCTTCCCTCACCTATCACCCCCTCCCCTGGGGCGGGCCCCAGGCCTCCATCCAGCTCCTCATCTAAAGGCCCGGTGCTCCGCAGGCCCCACCTTTGGGGATGCCCTAGGCTCCCCGGACCCCTCGCCGGGGTCCTGGGCGCCCGAGCCTCTGAGGCCGGAGGCGCTCAGGCTCCTCCTGGCCCCTCGGCCGCGTACTTCCGGGCCCCTCGGTCCGGGGGCGCCGTGGCCCCCCCAGTGCCGGCCGCGCCGGTCCCCACAGCCCTCGGCCTTGGGCCCGAGCCCCGGCGGCGGCGGCCGGCTGCGCTGGGGCGGCCCGGCTGCATCGGAGGGACCAGCGGACAGCGCCCCCCACCCCCCCGCGGCGCCGCGACGTCCGCTCGTTCCCCGGCGGCGGCGGCGGCACGCACAGGGCGTGGGGAGGCGCCCGCGGAGGCAGCAGCCCCCCGCCCCCTGCGCGCCCGCCCGCCCTCGCCGGCCGCCGCGCGGCCCCCGCGCCCGCCCCCCCGCCCCCACCCCACCCCGCGCCCGAGCGCCCACCCCTCCCCCTCCTCACCGTCTCCGTCGGGCGGGCGGGCGGCGAGCGGCCAGGGCGGGCGGGCGACGGAGCATGCGCAGAGGCCGCCACGGCTGCTACCGCCACCGCCGTCGCCAGGCCGGGCTTCAACACTTCCGGCCGCCGCCACCGGCGAGCTGGCGCCTTAAAGGGGACGCGTCCCTATTGCCGGCCCCGCGGAGGATTAACCTTGGAGGAGGGATTTGGGTCTTCACCTGAGCAGGGGGTCTCTGCGCATGAAAATCAAAGTTGGAAAGGTCGCTGGGGATCCTAGTAACTCTTCTTACCCCATTTCACGGATGAGGAAAATAAGGCCTAAATTAAGGAATCACCTCATCCACAATCAGGGACCAAGCCAGTTTTCTCGACTCCTCTGAAGGACTCTGCTCCTTTTACCTCCTCAAATCCTGTTGTATGATGCTTACAACTTATCAGACCTTCAAGTTACCATCCAACTATCAATTTGGCATCAGACGATTTGCTTCAGTATAGATCAGTAACTGGGTCACAAGTTCCTGAGCAAGCCCCTTATGTTCTGTGGTCCATGCCTGTTTGCCAAGCCTTTCCTACTTGAGAAGTTCTGGGTTCAAGTCTTGGCGTCCCTGTTGGAAGTTTAACAACTCTGGGGGAGTTACTTGACAGCTCTAAGCCTTTATTTCCCACAAGGCTTAATGTGAGTGTTAAAAGAGGGGATTACATAGGTTGGACAAGGTGGCTCATGCCTGTAATCCTAGTACCGGTACTTTGTGAGGCTGGGGCGGGGGTATCACTTGAGGCAAGGAGTTTGAGACCAGCCAGAGTAAAAGCGAGACTCCGCCTCCACAAAAAATACAAACATTAGCTGGGTGTGGTGGCATGCACCTGTAGTCCCAGCTACTTGGGAGGCTGAAGCAGGAGGACCGCTTGAGCCCAAGGAGTTTGAGGCTGCAGTGAGCTATGCTGACAGCATTGCACTCTAGCCAGGGTGACAGAGTGGACCCTGTCTCAAAAAAAAAAAAAAAAAAAGATAATATGTGAGAAGGGTTTGGGTAAGTACCTGGGGCCAGTAATAGTCATTAAGGAGTATTAGACCTTTCTAGTGCTCACCTTGGCAGCACATAAAATAAAATTGGAATGATACAGAGAAGATTAGCAAAAAAAACCCCAAAAAACCTTTCTATAGACAGGCCTTGGTGAAAATAGGGTTTTGTTTTTGTTTTTGTTTTTGTTTTTGTTTTTTTATTTTATTTAATTTTCCTGGAGGATGTTTTTGTTTTTTTAGGGACAGATGGAGTACAGTGGCACAATCACAGCTCACTGCAGCCTCAAACTCCCTGAGTTCCAGCAATGCTCCCTGCCTTGGCCTCTCGAATAGGTAAGACTTCAGGCATGTACCACCATGCCTGGCTTATTTTTTTAATTTTTTGTAGAGACGGGGTCTTGCTTTGTTGCCCAGGCTGGTCTCAAACTCCTGGCCTCAAATGATCCTCCCACCTCAGCCTCACAAGTAGCTGGGTCTATAGGCGTGCTACTGCCCTGGGCCAAAGATGATTTAGTCTTACATAAACCTCACAGTAACCCTATAAATAGGTTCTTTTCACTCCCATTATACAGTAAAAAATGGGGGGCCAAAAGAAGCTAACTGATCTTTCAAATTCATATAATATCTAAACGGTATAGCCAAGATTTAAACTTCAGGTACTTCGTTCTCCAGAGTCCATAGTTATAACCACAAAGTTAGTTGCTATTGTTATTAAGAACAAATGAGGGCCAGGCGCGGTGGCTCACGCCTATAATCCTAGCACTCTGGGAGGGTGGGGGGGGATTGCTGGAGTTCAGGAGTTCAAAACCAGCCTGAGCAAGAGCGAGACCACGTCTCTACTGTAAATGGAAAGAAATTAATTGGCCAACTAAAAATATATACAAAAAAAAAATTAGCCGGGCATGGTGGTACATGCCTGTAGTCCCAGCTACTCAGGAGGCTGAGGCAAGAGGATCGCTTGAGCCCAGGAGTGTGAGGTTGCTGTGAGCTAGGCTGATGCCACGGCACTCACTCTAGCCTGGGCAACAAAGTGAGACTCTGTCTCAAAAGAAAAAAAAAAAAAAAAGAACAAATGAGGTGGTAGGTATGCAGGCATTTTTCCAGGGGGAGAAAGAATTGCTTCCCCATTTACTTTCTCCTGTGAGTTTCTCCTACATGTCTGCTCTCCATCCTCTCTGGAGACATGAAGAGGTAAGAGGAAGTTTCGCAAGTTCTTGATTCAAGGACAGATGAGGAAGCCCAAGCATCCAATAATAGAATTGGATTTAGGGGTCAGACACCTGAATTCCAGACTTGGCTTTAGCAGGTAGGGGATCTTGATCAAGTCACACCTCCCTTAAGCCTTACAGATTCCCTCATCTGTAAAATAGAGATGATTATCCCAACATGTATGCCCACCTTTCAGGGCTGTACCTGGATCAAATAAAGAGACCCATGTTAGCACCTGTTCTTAATGATCAAGAACTTACACATAAGCAGATAATTCTGAATCTGAAGGTGGCTGTTCATGACTGGACTCGACCTGTGTGAACTGGTGTGAACATCTATATCTTTTGATTATGCAGCATCACTTATTGAACATGTACTAAAACCCTGTCCCTGCTTTCCAGAAGCTCTTGGTCCACCTTCTTTGAGAAAGAATTGTAAACAGGTATAGGAAATGCTGGTGTGGTGGCTCACACCTAAAATCCCTTTGGCAGGTAGAGGCGGGAGGATAGCTTGAGGCCAGGAGTTTGGAACCAACCTGGGCAACACAGACCCTGTCTCTACAAAAAAATTAAAATATTAGCTGTGCATGGTGGGGCATGCCTATAGTCCTAACTACTTGGCGGGTCTGAGGTGGGAGGATCACTTGAGCCTAGGAGTTGGAAGTTACAGTGAGCTATGATCAGGCCACTGCACTCCAGCCTGAGCAACAGAGTAAAACCCTGTCTCTAAAAATAAATAGATAGATAGAGGACACTACAGTACCGTGTGATGGGTTTATCCTAGAGAAATAAACAAAACACTGAAAAAGCACAAAAAGACTCTCCCTGGAGGATTCCTGAAAGGCTTCCCAGTGAAGGGAGCATTTGAGCCAGGTCTCAGAGGATGAATAGGAGTTCATCAAAGAGAAAAGTGGAGAAGAGCATTCCAAAAAGAATAACATGTGCCAAGACAAAGAAGTAGGAAGTGATGGGAAGGAGACGGGGCTGAAAAGGAAGACTAGCACCAGATGGCTGCCATAAGGAGCTATCTTACAGAGGTAGGGACCCAAGGGGGGTTTGAAGTCCTCTCCAACTGCACTAACACCCAACTCCAGCCCACAGGATGTGTCTGCACCACTACAGGAATTTTCTAGTGCTCAGCAGCCCCAGCCACCCCACCTACAGATGGTATCCCCCCTGAACACCCTAGGGTGAGTAATATTTTGAAGAGAGAAAGTCAAATCATGCTACTTCTCTGTTTAAAAAAACCCTTTAATAACCTCCCATTGCACTTAGAATAAAACCCAGACCCCTTACCAGGACCACCATGCATGATCTCTTTGCTACTCTCCTCTCCTCTGCCCCTCACACACTGTGCCCCAGACACCCTGGGCTCCTTTGTGTGCCTGGACTCACTCTCAGGGCCTTGTCACTGGCTCTTCCCCCTACATGGATAGCTCCTTCCTCAGGTCTTCAGAGCGCAGTCTCATCCTTCAGTCCTCATAGGCCTTCCCTGGCTCCCTTAAAGCAGAATCCCCAGCCACATTCTTTATCTTTGCTGCCTCTGCTTCCATGAGGGCCTGTGATGTGCCTTGAGGGACTGTGTCAAGACAAAGACAGCATCTGAGGGAGCTCCCTCCCAAGCCCTGATTACTTTCTGTCATACCCCCCTGCTTATCTGCATAGCAAGCCCCACTATTTGGAATCCCCTAAATTATGCATTTTCCTATTTTATGTCAATCTTTTCCCTTCATGGTATTTGGGGCAGAGTTTGGTACACAGCAAGTGATAAGCATTTTTTTGCTACAATAAATGAATAATGAATGATCGGAAAAATTATAAGATACAGACCAGAGAGGAGAAAGACCAGAAAAAGGAAACTGTGAGGTGACTGCTGTTAGGGTTGATACCCCCAAAATATAGTGGTTTGACATACAGAACTGAAGAAAAAGCCTCTGACCTCCCCTCAACCGCAGCAGCCCAGAAGCATCTCTCAATTCTCTGTCTCTCCCAAAGCACAGAACAAAGTTCTCTGAAGTTCCTTTATCTGCCTAAAGTCTGTACTCTCCAAAGAAGAACATCATTACCTTTGGACCCTTCCCTGAATTTTCATGAACTGAACTCATATGGCAGGAAAAAAGACTAAAGTCTGTCACCAAACCTGGACAGATTTTTGTCACAAACCATTGTCTGCTCTACAGGCCCAACAGACTTTGTCCCAGGCCACTATATGTTCTTCAAGCCTGTTATATTCCCCTATAAAGCATTTACTACCCCAAGAAAATCATCCACACTTCCCCATCTCCCTTTCCTCTGAGAAGAAGGGTATAGAACCATCTGTATCTCATTGGGATATTGGGTAATCATTCTCCTCTGATTCCCCTGAGTCATGCAAGTTAAAATAAATTTGTATGCCTTTTCTCCAATTAATCTGCCTTCTATGAGTTGATTTTTCATAGGGCAAAGGGAAAAACTTCCCCTTCCTACATTGTTATGATCAACCAGGCAAGAGAGCATGAGGGCCTCACATAGGACAAAGCCGAGTACAGCAGCCGTGAGTTTTAGGCCAGGGTGAAAAATGACAGAGGAGTGTCCTGCACATTTGGTGCAGAAGTGGTTACAAAATGTCTCCACAAGCCTGATTTGGATCTTAAATGTTACAAGTCCCAATTAGGCAAAAAATGACATTTTTTTGCTTGCTTTATGATCATACCCCTTGGAGATGTTAGGGGTCTTGTGGCATTTGGCTTCTTTTTCTCTGCAGGCTTTAAAAATCTGAAAAGAACATCAGCAGTGAGCCCCTGTGCTCCAGACACAGCTCCAAACTGGGGCCAGCAGGCATTAGTAACCAACCGAATGTGGGGGGTGAGGGAGAGAAAGTGACAAGGATGACCCCAAGTGAAGGAACAAAGCAGGAAGAGTTGGTTGGGGATGAGGGAAAGTAGAAACAGTGGCCATTTTGGTCTTTTTGAGTCTAGAGTGCTTGTGGAAAATCCAGATGAAGGTGTCCACAGGAAGGTGGATTCACTCATCTCAGAAGAAAAGCCAGGGCTACAATTTGGGACCTGTGGTGTAGATGGGGTCACCAGGGAAGAGTATCCAGAGAGGGAGGGGCCATAGGCCTAAGCCTGGGGAGCACTGTGATTTGAGGAATCTGCAGAGAGCAACCATGAGTGGTTGGAAAGGTTGGGTCCCTCCCACAGAGCAGGGAGGGAGCTTCCACCAGGAGGGGATGACACCAACGACATCAGGTACTGCAGAGAGTCCAGGAAAGGAAAAAGGAGAAGACACTGGTGACTGAGAAGTCACAGCTGATCCTCCCGGGGTGGAGTCACCTCCACAGTAGGGCAGGAGGCCAGATTGTAGAGGATAAGAGAGAAGTACAGAAATAGCCAGTGGAGACAATGCTGCAATTTTTTTTTTTATAGAAAGGAGGAATTAGAGATAAGGCAATGAGATGATTGTTTTAGGGGGAAAGTCATGTGAAGACTTTTCTTTTTCATTTTTTTCACTTCATTGTTTTCCCTGTAATTATAGGTTCACTGTAGAAAATTGCAAAGTACAAAAAAGGGTAAAGAAGCAGAATGGAAACAAACCTTCCCTTTAGCATCTGGCATATTTCCTTCCAATCTTTCTTCTGTTTGTTTGTTTGTTTGGTTGGTTGGTTGTTTTTTTTTTTTGGTTTGTTTGTTTTTGAGACAGAGTCTCACGCTGTTGCTGGGGCTAGATTGCCGTGGCATCAGCCTAGCTCACAGCAACCTCAAACTCCTGGGCTCAAGCGATCCTTCTGCTTCAGCCTCCTGAGTAGCTGGGATTACAGGCATGTGCCACCATGCCTGGCTAATTTTTTCTAGATATTTTTAGCTGTCCAAATAATTTATTTCTATCTTTAGTAGAGAAGGGGTCTCACTCTTGCTCAGGCTGGTCTTGAACTCCCGACCTTGAGTGATCCTCCTGCCTCAGCCTCCCAGAGAGCTAGGATTATAGGCGTGAACCACCGCACCAGGCCCTCCAATCTTACTTCTATATACTTTTATTTTTTGCTTTGCCTTGGTAAATTATCTTCAATTCGCAATTCTATGTTTTTTTTTCTTTACTGAATACTGTTTCCTAAGCACTAAAGAGAATTTTTCTCCTTTTCTTTTTTTTAATATGAGAGGTCCTCGAGTACCCAGTCTAGTTCTACCCTCCACTCCAGCAGTCTTGGGGCCTCCCTGATTTCTGACCAGACAATATGGTTTAGGAGATGATTCTTTTCATTTGGGTACATAAAAAAGCTGAACAGCAGAAGGGCCAAAAATAACCTTGGGGGCAGCTGGCAGGGTTGAAAGAGGCCTCAGTGTGGTATGTTCAAGGCACCTAGGGGGAGATTTCGGGCATGAGCTGCACACAGGCCCTCGTTGGGGTAACCAGTTTGGAAGCAGCAGGAAAGGAGGGGTGGTGTTGGCCAGGCCTGCCAAGAGCTTGCTAGCTGCCAGGCACTGGCACCTAGATGTATAACCTTAGATGTATCTTAACACCTTAGATGTATCTGACCTCACAAGTCCTGTTGCTAACACTGATTAACGTGAGAGGTTAAGCAACTTTCCCAAGTCCACACATCTCCTTAGTGGCTGGGTCGGATTTGAACATAGGCAATTGCCCTCCAGGGCCCATGCTCCTAACTACCCCTCCACTGTGGAACGCCCATCCCTGGCTGCACAGACAATCACTTGAGGGGATTTTATAAAATACCTGCCTGCTCTGCCGCATCCTGCTTTCTTCCCTTCCTTCCTGCTTCCTTCCCTTCCTTCCCAAACCAGGTATCCATCTCAAGAATGCCCCCTCATAAATATTGGTACACTAATCTCCATCTCAGAAAAAAAGTTGTCTATACCAGGGGCCCAGCCAGAGGGACTTAGGCAGGATCTCTGGGTATAGGAACCAGATACAAATATGTTTTTAAGTGTCCCTAGATGACTCTGTTGGCCAGCCAGGTTTGAGAACCACAGATCCACTGGCTCCTAAGTATGTTTACTCCATGCCAAATAGCAATAGCAGCAGCAGCAATAGTAATGGCTAACCCTGCTGGGTGCCAGGCCCTATTTTAAGCACTTTTTATGTATTAATTTATTTAATCCTCATAAAGTAGGTACTACAGTAGTAGTGTCCCCATCTTACAGATAGGAAAACTGAGGTTGCATAGAATCTGGGCTCCTCAACTCAGTCTATGCTATAGCCTGACTATTCTGATTTCCTGAGACTAGCTGCTTAGCGGGTTAAAAGGAAATAAACTAACCTCACTTGAGCCCTTTCTTTGTGCTGGCACAATGCTAAGAACTTTCCCATAGTTGAAATTCGAGGTAGGGAATTTCCCTTCCAGGTGGGGAGTGCTAGCCCATTTTCCAGAAGAGACAAGACAGGCTCAGTGAAGTTAAGTGGCACATTTACCAGGCTGGGAAACAACAGAACCACCATTCCCAGTGGGGCCATCTGAAGTTTAGGCTCTGTCCCAGGGCAGATTTTTCCCCTTCTATAGTGTTACCATGTTACCGTCCATCCATGCTAGAGGTTAACACCACAGGGCCTGCCAGGACTCGGCCATGAGTGGAATCTGCAGCAGGCCTGCTGGGGTTGGACCATCGAGCCAGCCAAGAGTTCATGCCCCATCTGGGGGTGCAGCAACTCCTCTATTGGCCTGCTGTGGTCTCCCCAGAATATGAGCCCAGCACAGCCAGATCATCTAATTCAGAAGAGGAGGCAGAAGTCCTAGGTTTTATTTGGTATCTCTGGATTTATAAACGTTGATAACTAATTTTTAAAGACAAAAAACTTAAAGCCTCATCTGGGCTCTCTGTTACCCACCTGTAAAGAGGTACAGCCTATAGGTCCCCAGTGGCAACTGCTGGTCTCTTTTCCCAGGTATCCACCTCCAACCTGGAACAGTGTCTCCAGCTGCCTGATCAGCTACTGACTCCCCAGACTCAACATGTCCACATCTGAATTCATCGCTTCTCTGCCCGTCCTTAAAAGTCTCCAACAAACCTGCTTCTCCTCCAGTATCCCCCACCTCCACCTCTTAGCCTCCACTTCTCAGCCACCTCCAAGACCCCTGTAATACCACCTCTTCTCAGAACCTCCACTTGGTCATCGTCACTTGCTTCTGTTACACACAGAGCCTCCTAATTGGCCTCCCTGCTTTCTGTCCTGCTGCCTTTGAGTCTTCATTCTTTACTCTTCCAATGGCCTCCCTCCCCTTAAATGAGCCAGGCGTGGTGGCATGGCTATCAGGAGACACTCCAACCTGGTGGACAGAGCAAGACCCTGTCTCTAAAAATAAATAAATAAATTAACAACATAAAAGTAAAAAATAAAATAAAACTTGAACTCATCATGATCTGCAGGACCCTACATGACCTGGCATTGGGCTCTTCTCTTTTTTTTTTTTTTTTTTTTTAGACTGAGTCTCGTTTTGTTGCCCAGGCTAGAGTGAGTGCCATGGCGTCAGCCTAGCTCACAGCAACCTCAGACTCCTGGGCTCAAGCAATCCTACTGCCTCAGCCTCCCGAGTAGCTGGGACTACAGGCATGTGCCACCATGCCCGGCTAATTTTTTTTATGTATATTAGTTGGCCAATTAATTTCTTTCTATTTGTAGTAGAGATGGGGGTCTCACTCTTGCTTAGGCTGGTTTCGAACTCCTGACCTCAAGCAATCCGCCCGCCTCGGCCTCCCAGAGTGCTAGGATTACAGGCGTGAGCCACCGCGCCTGGCCTGGGCTTTTCTCTTGACTTGCTCTCTTTCTGTCACTCTGCTCCAGCCACACTGGCCTTCTGAAAATTTCTCCAGCACATGGACTTCATGGCCTTTGCCCGCACTGTTTCCCCAGATCCTCCCATCCCCAGGGCTCAGCTCCTCAGCCAGGTCCTCCCTGTTCTCACTGTGTAAAGTTGTGTCCCCTCCCCAGACACCCTGCTTCACATCTCCCTTACAGCCTTACCCACCCTTGACGTGTCTGGTTCCTGTCTGTATCGCCCTCCTCCTCCTACATATACCCTGCCATGAAATCTCCATGAGAACAGGGGCAAAGTCTGTTTTATCCATGGTAGGACTCGATGCTTGGTACATAGAACTCAAAAAATATTTGTCTGTTAAGGACTGCGTGCACATTTGTGTCTGCTTCCCCTCCCCCCGCAGTTTACCCCACTCTTCTGTATTCACATTCTCAGAAGCCAGAAGCCACTAACAGATGGGGAATGAATCAGAAAGGAAGCAGAGAGAGAAAAGGAAGAAGTTCTGCCAGTTGGTGCAAAAAAAAAAAAAAAAAGTCTGGGATGAATCTAGATACAGTCAGGTGAGTCACATCCTCCCCCACCCCACCCACCTCACCCTCACCCACATTCTACCACTTTGACCAAAGCAAAAGGCCAGGCACAGTGGCTCACGACTAATCCTAGCACTTTGGGAGGCTGAGGCAAGAGGATTTCTTGAGGCCAGAAGTTTGAGACCAACCTGGGCAATATATTGAGACCTCATCTCTACAAAAAATTTAAAAAGTTAGCTAAGGGTGGCACACACCTATAGTCCCAGCTACTTGGGAGGCTGAGTCAGGAGGATCACTTGAGCCCAGGAGTTTGAGGTTGCTGTGAGCTATGATGATGCCACTGCAGTCTACTCCAGGCAACAGAGCGAGACCCTGTCTCAAGAAAGAAAAGAAACAAAGCAAAATGCTGACTTTGTGAGTTTGGAGTCACAGAGGACAAGATTCAAGTCTTGCTGGCTCTGTGACCTTGAACGAGTATCTGTCTCAGCCTCAGTTTCCTCATCTGTAAAAGGGAGGTGGTAATGGTATCTCACTCATAGGGGGACAGTGAATGGGATAATCTACATGCACAATGCCCTTAGAATTATGTCTGGATGTAGTAAGCACTCAAGAAATGCCAGCTGGTATTACTATTAACATGTTACCTGGCACCTACCACCCACTTACCTTACAGAGCTCAGAGCTGCATCAGTGCTGCCTCTGTTGCTATAGGACCTCAGTTAATGTCATCTCTGTTCCTCATTCTTCCTATCTGTGATGGGGACCATTATGGCAACTGAAATTAAGGCTGCTGAGGCAGAAATAATTCACTAAAGGTTTATTGGAAGCCAAATGTGAGGCTTGATCTGGGAAGACACACCAACAGAGGTGGGGATGTTCCAGAGTTTGTCACAAGGTGAAAGGTTTTTATAGGAAAGTTTAAAAGGAGGGAGGGGCAGTTGTCCCTCTTTTCATTGGAAGGTACATACCAAATTTGTAATCGTTGGCTACAGATGACATCATACAGGCTAAAAATGTCTGTGTGCAAGACAATCAGTAGAATTTCGTGCTTCAGTTACTCTTAAAATAAGTCAGCACTCTATTTAGTGTCCGTAGGTGACACATTGATCAGCACATCAATAATTTAAGGAATATTTGAATTAAGTGTAGGATGAAAAATGAAAAAAAATAAAGATAAAAAAATAATAATAATTTGAGGAATATATGTTAAGATTCTTTACTTAGAGACAGAATGTCACCGTTGAGTCACAAGACATCTCCAAAGAGAATTAATTGGGAATCCTGTTTCCTGTCAAATGTGACCCAAATGATATCAATAAGCAGCCACATTTATGAGCACTTGCTGTATACCCAGAACTGTATGGGCACACTGTTTGCCCACTGGAGTATAAGTTCCCTGAGCCACTGGCCACCGCCCAGCTCAGTGCCAGAGATATCACAGGCACACTCAAAATCTTGCTCTTCACATTTTTTCTTTTAAATTTTTAATTTAATTTTAATTACTTTTAATTTTAGTGCAATAAAATATACATTACATAATTGGGAAAATTATACCATTTCATAATGGGAAAATTAACCATTTTCCCATTTTTATTTATTTATTTATTTTTGAAACAGAGTCTCACTTTGTTGCCCAGGCTAGAGTGAGTGCCATGGCATCAGCCTAGCTCACAGCAACCTCAAACTCCTGGGCTCAAGCAATCCTGCTGCCTCAGCCTCCTGAGTAGCTGGGACTACAGGCATGTGCCACCATGCCCAGCTAATTTTTTTCTATATAATTAGTTGGCCAATTAATTTCTTTCTATTTATATTAGAGACAGGGTCTCGCTCTTGCTCAGGCTGGTTTCAAACTCCTGACCTCAAGCAATCTGCCCGCCTTGGCCTCCCAGAGTGCTGGGATTACAGGTGTGAGCCACCGCGCCCAGCCTTCCCATTTTTAAATGTACAGTTCAGTGACATTAAATACATTCAAATTGTTGCACAACCATCAACACCATCCATCTCCAGAACTTTTTCATTATCCCAAACTAAAATTCTATGCCCACTTAATGATAACTTCCCACATCTCCTTCCCCTCATTCCTTGGTAACCAGTATTCTACTTTCGTCTCTATATAGTTGAGTTTTCAAAGTACTTCATATAATATTTGTCCTTTTGAGTCAGGCTGATTTCACTTAGCCTAATGCCTTCAAGGTTTGTCCATGCAGTAGCATGACTCAGTACTTCATTCCTTTTTATAACCAAATAATATTCCATTGTATGGCTACCCATTCATTGTGTTTATCCATTCATCCCTTGATGAACGTTTGGGTTGTTTCTACCTTTTCCCTATTGTGAATAATGCTGCTATGAACATGAATATACAAGTATCCCTTCAAGTCCCTGCTTTCAATATTTTCATGCAAGTACTAACCAGACCCAACCCTGCTTAGCTTCTGAGATCATAGGAGACCAGGTACATTCAAAGTGATATTGCTGATGGCCGTAGACTCTGCTTCCAATTTTTTTGGTATATACCCACAAAAGGAATTGCTGGATCATATGGTAATTCCATGTGGAATAAAAAGGTTTTTTAAAAAGAGATAGGGTCTTGTTATGTTGCCCAGGCTGGATTCAAATTCCTGGTCTCAAAGGATCCTCTGGCCTCAGCTGCCTGAGTAGCTGGGACTACAGGCATGCACCACCATGACTGGCTTGATTTTTTAAATAATAGCTATCCTAATGGGTGTAAAGTGGTATCTCATTGTAGTTTTGACTTGCATTTCCCTAATGATTAGTAATGTTGAGCATCTTTTCATGTGCTTATTCGCCATCAGTATATCTTCTTTAGAGAAATGTCTATATAAGTTCTTTGCCCATTTTTTAATTGAGTTGGGGGTTTTGGATATTGTTGAGTTATAGAAGTTTCTAATATATTCCAGATATTACTCCCTTATCAGATATATGAGTCACAAATATTTTCTCCCATTCTGTGGGTTGTCTTTTCACTCTCTTGATAGTGTCCTTTGATGCTGTCCAAGATTTTTAATTTTGATGAAGTCCAATATACTTATTTTTTATTTTATTATCTGTGTTTGTGGTATAATATCCAAGAAATCATTGACAAACCCAATGTCATGAAGCTTTTCCCCTATGTTTTCTTCTAAGAGTTTCATATATATATACACACACACATATTTTAAGACAAGTTCTCACTATTGTCCAGGCTGGTCTTGAACTCTTGGCCTCAAGTGATCCTCTCGCCTCAGCCTCCCAAAGTGCTAGGATTACAGGTGTGAGCCACTGCACCTGGCAAGTTTCATAATTTTAGCTCTAACATTTAGGTCTTTGATTCATTTTGTTTTTTATTTTTTATTTTTTTATTTTTTGAGACAGAGTCTCGCTTTGTTGCCCAGGCTAGAGTGAGTGCCATGGCGTCAGCCTAGCTCACAGCAACCTCAGACTCCTGGGCTCAAGCAATCCTACTGCCTCAGCCTCCCGAGTAGCTGGGACTACAGGCATGTGCCACCATGCCCGGCTAATTTTTTTTATGTATATTAGTTGGCCAATTAATTTCTTTCTATTTATAGTAGAGACGGGGTCTTGCTCTTGCTCAGGCTGGTTTCGAACTCCTGAGCTCAAAGGATCCGCCCGCCTCGGGCTCCCAGAGAGCTAGGATTACAGGCGTGAGCCACCGCGCCCGGCCTGAGACTTTTGTCTCTTAAAAAATAAAATAAATAAACAAAATCTGCTTGGGTACTGAAAGTAGACTCCAAAAATTCATGCAGCTGGGAAAGAAACACAGTTCACACCCACCCACATCAGTTCCTTCAGGTAACATCATCATGGACAGATGCTCGTTAGTAGATGTCTCTCAGTCTCGAATAGAGTTAAATTATTAATGGTTCTAAGAGCTAATCGGGTTTCAGAACATTTGCAAAACCTGCCTGTAAAGGGATGGTATTTGACTTTTGATGTCCAGCACAGTGTAACCACCATAACCCAATTTTACAGCTTTGTCTAAATATCAAAAGACATCTATAGCTCTCTCTTTTTGCACCCTTCCTTTGGCTCTCTTTTCCTGCTGCGACAACAGGTCCAGTCGTCATCTGTGGCGTATGTACCATGCTCTGTAAACCTATATCTTGCTCTTGCCCTATAATCCTATCTTTCTCTCCTGAATAAACCTCGTTTTTGTGCTTGCCTAAGGAAAAAAAAAGACATCTATAGAAGTAGTTAGATTTTCTACAACCAAATATATACAGTCATGCACTGCATAACAACATTTGGGTCAAGGACAGACTGCATATACAATGATGGTTCCATAAGATTATAAGAGAGCTAAAAAAAATTCCTATTAACTACTGACATTGTAGCCATCATAACTTGCTAAGGAAATGTTTATGGTGCTGCTATAAACGTTTTTCCCTAAAGACTGACTGCTACCTTTAGGTCTAGATGAGATTTCTGAAAGACTGACACCTAAGGAGCCTCATGAAGGTCCTTCGGGAGGTATTACAGAAGGCATTGTGCTACTGCCCCTGAAGACCTTCAAAGTGGGACAAAATGTGGAAATGGAAGACAATTATATTAATGATCTTTTTATTTAGCTTTACATATGATTTTTATTAATATTGAATACGAAATTCATAACATTCAAAATATGTATTTGTTATTTAGCTAACTTTCCTGAAGAAGTGGTAGACAATTTTCCAGCCGACGTATCCACTGGCTTTTATTATGGTTGGGCCAGTGCTGGAAGAGGAGATGTCCACAAGATGGTGGTGAGCATAGGATGGAACCAGTACTACAAGAACACAAAAAAGTCCATGGTAAGCGTTGTGTTTTGCTTTGTAACTGGCAATGGGATGATGATTTAGAGTAGTACGTAGTATTAGATTTTATATAGAACTCAACAGTTCAAATACTAGAATTTTGGGGAGCATACTTAAAGGATTTAATAATGAAGTATTTAGTTACTGTTTGAATGGAGTATCTTCTTCTGTCTTTTCACTTTCAACAGATTTGTGTCTTTGGATCTTGGTATTAATGATCTTAACCCTGCGTAGGCCCAGTCTAATGTGTGTGTTTACAGTGTTTGTGTCTCGGTTTTTAACAAAAAGAGTTTAAAAAATTTAGGCCAGGCGTGGTGGAAGGCCGAATAGGGCGGATCACTGGAGGTCAGGAGTTTGAAACCAGCCTGAGCAAGAGCAACCCCGTCTCTACTAAAAATAGAAACATATTAATTGGCCAACTAAAAATATATAGACAAAATTTAGCCGGACACGGTGGCGCATGCCTGTAGTTGCTAGAGGCAAGGACCCTCAAAGACCCTCAACTCCCCTATGACTCGTCCTACGCACGGACTTTGCCCTGGAAAATTCCAGCTATAGCTCCGAGAAGAATGCATTCCATAACGTGCTGACCACGGGATGCTCCAGGGAGTGCTGACTGCAATTGTTCCCGACCACCTGCCAGGTTGGAGATGAGTAACCAGTCAAAAACAGGATACTGATAAGACGCTGATTGGGGCTGATTAACCCAGACCCAAGCCTCATCGTGGCCCCACTCTATTTTTTTGTTTCTACTTCCTTGTTTCTGTATGCTTATAAAACCTACTAAGAATCTAAGTAAAGCAGACCTTGACAACCATTTGCTTGGTCTTGTTCCTTTCTCTTGCCCATCTCTTTCAGGCAAGGTCCCCCTTGACCCCCGAGAGTAACAGAAGGTCCCGCAGGCCGGGACAAGTGGTGCCCAACGTGGGGCCCAAGGTACGGACCTTTGTCAGGTGACGCCGCGGTGTGCTCTTCCGCCGAAGGAAACCCTACAGAGACCCTCATTCTGCCGCTCACAGAGTTGACGGTCTGGTGAGTAAATTTTTACATTGTTATCCCATCGAGATGGGCCATTCATTGTCTAAAGAGGCTGTTTTTATTAAGGATCTCAAGGCCTCACTCAGAGAGAGAGGAATTAGAGTTAAGAAAAAGGATCTTGTAAAGTTTTTTGTGTTCATTGATCGTGCTTGTCCTTGATTTATTATTAGTGGACCTGAGATTCACCCACGCAAATGGCAGAAGGTAGGCAGAGATTTAAACAATTTATTTCTGAATCAAGGCCCAGATGCCGTCCCTGTATATGTTTTCTTGTACTGGGGACTAATCAGAGATATTGTTCAAGGGGCAGATTCAGACCCCAATAAGAAGCAGCTACTCTCCGTAGCGGAATTTTGCCTCCGACCCATGTCTCGGTCCGCTTCGAGAACTTCTTTAAAGACGGCCGAAGGGCCAGCTTCTCCTAATGATCCTGAGAGACCAACATGCCCTTCCCCTTGCCCCTCGGTTTGTATTAATATGCTCCCTCAGGACCCCTCGGCTGAGCTCCAGACATCTAGGGACAAGCCCCCGATTAGTAAGCCAGACACCAAGACCCTCTATCCTCCCTTACCCGAGGGTACAGCCCCTCATGCATTTAATTACCCGGTATTCAAAAAACAACCCCTCCAAGAGTCCCTCGACCCCGCAGAAGAGGCAACCCTCGGAGAGGAAGCGGCCTGATATCACAATCCCGAATGGCCCCCTCCTTACCCGCCCCAAATTTGCGCACCTTCATTATGCCTCCCCTTACAATGCCCTTGCTTTTGCGTGCCAAAGAAGACTTAAGTCAAAGGGTTACCCAATTAAAGGATGTCTTACAACTTCAAAAAGAGTTTGCCCAGCTTTCCAAAGACTTGTCCTCCCTCCAAGATACGCTTAAAGATTTGGTCTTCATTAGCCTCTCTCTTTTTTTTTTTTTTTTTTTTTGAGACAGAGTCTCACTTTGATTGCCCAGGCTAGAGTGAGTGCCGTGGCGTCAGCCTAGCTCACAGCACTCAAACTCCTGGCTCAAGCAATCCTTCTGCCTCAGCCTCTCAAGTACCTGGGACTACAGGCATGTGCACCCATGCCTGGCTAATTTTTTCTATACTATATATATTAGTTGGCCAATTATTCTTTCTATTTATAGTAGAGACGGGGTCTTGCTCTTGCTCAGGCTGGTTTCGAACTCCTGAGCTCAAAGGATCCGCCCGCCTCGGCTTCCCCGAGAGCTCAGGATTACCAACAACGGCGTGAGCCACCGCGCCCGGCCTGAGGATTTCTGTCTCTTAAAAAATAAAATAATAAACAAAATCTGCTGCGGTACTGAAAGTAGACTCCATAAAATTCATGCCAGCTGGAGAAACACAGTTAATCACACCCACCCACATCAAGTTCCTTCAGGTAACATCATGGACAGAATGCTCGTTAGTAGATGGTCTCTCAGGTCTCGAATAGAGTTAAATTATTAATGGTTCTAAGAGCTAATCGGGTTTCAGAACATTTGCAAAACCTGCCTGTAAAAGGGGATGGTATTACTTTTGATGTCCAGGCACAGTGTAACACCATAACCCAATTTTTACGCTGTGTCTAAATATCAAAGACAATTATAGCTCTCTCTTTTTTGCACCCTTCCTTTGGCTGCTCTTTTCCTGCTGCGACAACAGGTCCAGTCGCATCTGTTGGCGACTATGGTACCATGCTCTGTAAACCTATATCTGCTCTTGCCCTATAATCCTATCTTTCTCCTGAATAAACCTCGTTTTTTGTGCTGCCTAAGGAAAAAAAAGACATCTAAGAAGTAGAGTTAATTTTCTAACAACCAAATATACAGTCATGCACTGCTAAAGCCTCCTGAGTAGCTGGGACTACAGGCATGTGCCACCATGCCCGGCTAATTTTTTCTATATATTTTTAGTTGGTCAATTAATTTCTTTCTATTTCTTAGTAGAGAAGAGGTCTTGCTCAAGCTGGTCTCGAACTCCTGAGCTCAAACAATCCTCCCGCCTCGACCTCCCAGGGTGCTAGGATTACAGGTGTGAGCCACCATGCCCGGCTAATTCACTTACTCTTATTGGCAGACACTTGGAAGGAGTCTGGATATTCCTTATGGGTGCATAACATAGTCTATAATATAGTGTGCCCTTGGATAAACATTATCACTTAACTTGCTTAAATGTCAGTTTTCTAATCTTGAAACAGAAAACAATACCTATTCTTTCTACTTCAAGAATTAGCTGCTTAGGCCAGGGGTGGTGGCTCACACGTATAATCCTAGCACTCTGGGAAGCCGAGGTGGGATGATTGCTTGAGCTCAGGAGTTGGAGACCATCCTGAGCAAGAGCCAGACTGGTCTCTACTAAAAATAGAAAAATTAGCTGGGCATGGCGGTAGGTACCTGTAGTCCCAGCTACTTGGGAGGCTGAGTCAGGAGGATCTCTTGAGCGCAGGAGTTTGAGGTTGCAGTGAGCTATGATGACCCTACTGTACTCTAGCCCAAGCGACAGAGCAAAACTCTGTCTCAAAAGAGAGCCCAGGCATTTGAGGCCAGCCTGGGCAACATAAGGAGACTTCTGTCTCTCTCTTTTTTTTTTTTTTTTTTTGAGACAGAGTCTCACTTTATTGCCCAGCTAGAGTGGATGCCGCTGGCGTCGCTAGCTCGACAGCGACACTCAAACTCCTGGCTCAGCAATCCTTCTGCTCAGCCTCTCAAGTACCTGGGAACTACAGCATCGTGCCCCCGCCCCCCCCCAACCCCATGCCTGGCTAATTTTTTCGTATGGTTCTACATGACTTCAACAATTGTCTTCTTGTAAAATATATTTAGTATTATCGGCCTATAATTTACGTGTTATAATACATTTAATGTGAGTCTTATCTTCTATTGACGTAGTCCTGCTCTTGCTCAGGCTCTGGGTTTCGAACTCCTCTGAGTCTCGATTCATTACAGGCACTCCGGTTCTACGCTCCTCGGGCTCATCAGCATTGGTGTGCTTAATAGAGAGTGAATTACAGGCGTGATAAGCCACGCGCCCGGCCTGAGGAATGGTTTATCTATTATGATCTACTATAAATATTAATAGACAATAATAGTGCACCATAAAATAAAGTAGAAAATCTGCTTGGGTACTGAACCAGTATAAGACTCCTAAAGGACAAAATTGCATGCTCAGC